CTTATTATTTGTACATTCCTGATATTTATAAAATAGGTATTATTTGTGATCCACGCTTTAAAATTGAAAATTATAAAATTTTAATTGATTATTACTACAAGTGTTTTTTAGATGAAAATAGTTATTACTACTCTTATTTAGTAGAATGGAAAAAAGAAAGAGATAATGCTGTAACTTTTTTTGAGAATTTGTTTGAGGAATATCAAGGGTTATACGGCACTGTACAAGAAGAAACAGCACCACCTCCGCCCCCGAAATCAAAAAAAGGTTTTGCCGGAATAGTCGGTGGGCTTCTTGCAAAGAAAGGGAAGCGTGCTCATTCTTCGACGAGTTCAAGTGGTACAACAGTAAGCTCGCACAACGAACTTGCTATGTACCAGGGTGTGCCATGCGATTACGATGAAGACGAAGTGGATTTTGACGTGCTCGGATGGTGGAAGCGGAACGAACACATGTTCCCATGTCTCGGCATGCTAGCAAGACAAGTGTTATCCGTTCCGGTATCAACCGTAGCAGTTGAACGAGAATTCAGTGCTGGCGGCAACATTCTAACCGACTTTCGAAGTTGTCTTAGCGCTGAATCTCTTGAAACACTTGTTTGCAACCAAGATTGGCTCTTGGCAAGACGTCGAGCTCAAGAGTCAATGTACCAACTCGAATCGGAGCATTACATGAATGCAACAACAGATGGAAGTCTGAGTTCTGAAGAATAAGTTATAATTTTTTTTGTTAATGTAAATATGTAATTAGTTTTTTTTAGCTGAGCGATATATAAGCTCTTTCGAGAGTTTCCTTACGGTTCTTTACCTCGTCGCTTTTTTTGAACCGTCAGGATATTAAATGTGGTTGTTCTTTAGTTAGTGTATTATTCATTTAAAATATTTAAATAACAACTACATTTTTATATAACAACTACATTCCGGTACTTCATTTTTTTCCTTAAACAATTGCAAATTTAAAATTTTATACTTAAAAATTTTAAAAAAAAGCAAAAAAAAATAAATAGGGAGGGGGGCGAAACCGGCCGGTCCGGGAACCGGAACCGGTACCGCCCGGCACGGTGACGGTTCCGGTGACATGGGGTGGCGGTACCGGAACCGGAACCGTACCGTGTCCACCCTTAGTATGAATAAGTAAATGGTATTCATTGTGTAACTTTAACAATATTATATTATCTTAAAATGATCGCATTCATTATTTTTTTATGAAAACTATTCTATTAATTTAAAATTCATAAAATAAAATATTAAATTTTTATAAGGGTTATTTTCAATTAAAAATTAATAAAGAAGACGTTGATGTCTTTGTGTCACTATTTTCATTGATGCATCATTTTATGCCTCATCATATTGTAAACATAATGTTAATATGAAGTAAATTAAATCTATCATTGCCTCCAATTTTGCATTCTCAAAATCAATCCACAACTTGTCACCGTGTTTCTTCGTCTGAGTGTGCTTGAAGGCATCTACCACTATAATCGAAGCTTTGGACTTTGAGACCTGCAAAATAAAATGGATAAAATATATGCATCGATATTTATATAAATTGAATTACTACATCAACAACCTTACTATTGTGGGATCGAAATTGGGTTGTTTATGTTGTTGCTATAACTTTCATCAAATAAATTACCAATCGGACAAGGTGCTAAAAAAATGAGATAAATCCCGCCGCTATAGGTGTCAATAGCTGGGCCCTCAACCTTTCACTTTCTCAAGTTACACATATAGTTTTATTTAGTCATCAATAAATTCTGATTATATATATGATATTTTATAATTGAGATCTATTCTTTAAGTAGTATTTCGTAACAAAAAAAGTTGACTAGGCCGAGTATATGGTGTGATACATGAGCTGTCATTACATATACTACTTAACGAATGTGTGTAAAACATATGATTCCAAAGTCAGAGGTTATATTAATCATGTGTCCAAACATTTTTTCTGTATGAGTTTTTGTTAATGTTTTTGCTCATCTGCTTATTATACTGTTATTTATCATTCAAAAAAATATACTCGTAATACCTATTGATATATATTTAGGACCTGTTTGGGAATAGCTTTAAAATTAGCGTTAGCGTTTTGAAAAGGCTATCTACGGCCAGCGTTTAGCGTTAGCATTTTCAAAGTAATCTGCACCGTTAAAATTTTATCTAAAACGCTAACGCTAATCTCTAACGCTATTCCCAAACAGGCCCTTAAACTCTTTACATTTTCTTTCAACCCAATTCATCAATTTTCAATTCCTTTAAAAATTTTAACCCTTTTTCAAAAATTTCAGACTTACTTATATTTATTCCAATCATTTCTAGTTTTTTAACTCATTAGGGAGATCTTACTTCATACATACGAAGTGAATTTTTCACTAGGGAGTTCTTAATAACAATAAAGAATAAACGACCAATTATTAAAAAATAATCCCCTGTGAAAAGTGGTCTGAACAAATCTTGCACCTAAAAAAAATCAACTCCTTATAGTTCCCAGTAGCTAAGACTATTAAAATTTCAAAATAAAATTGGTGGAGTGTGCCGGGCCGAGGAAGTACTGCAAGCCCAAGGCGACACACGAAAGCCCCAGTAGCAAGCTACTCTGATGGACCTTCCCCCTTAAAAAATTGAGTTAATATCGTGTGGGCCAATGGCCCACATATCAGATATTAAACTAATAAGAACAGATACTACACTTGATCTTAGCCAAAAGGCCGAGAAAGGTATGATTGTGATAGAGTATAGGCTGCATTATTTATATTGTTTCAAAAGCATTATATTTCCTTAGTGAAACGGTGTGGGAGAAAATCTTAATAGTCTCGCCTGCTCCTCTGCCCTTTACATGTCATCAGTTTTGGTTTCATATCTTTAAGCTTCTTTATTTGAAATACAAATTTCATTGATGTAGCCAACAACAAGAGTAAGCCTCAATGTGGTTTGGATAGAAAACATTCAATGAAAAAATTTACCGAGTACAAATTAAGTAATATTATAGTTTACGACCTATTTGGGTGTGTATGAATAAGTAAAGGGTACCCTTTGTGTAACTGTAATAACATTATACAATGTTAAAATAATCGCATCAATTATTTTTTTGAAAACTATTCCATTAGTCACCGACAATAAAATTTAAAATTAACAAAATAAAGTATTATATTTCCAAGGGTTATTTTCAATTAATAAAATTAATTAAGGAAAGCTTTTCTTTTAGATATTTGGGAGGTCCCATTTCTGCATCTTGTATATAAGTGAAAGGGAATGTGATAACTAGTGGAAAAGCTCACTATGAAAATATCCTCATGGGCTACTAAACACTTCTCTTATGCTCAGTGAAGAAAATTGATGAATTCAGTGTTGTATGATGTTGTGTTTTTCTAGGAGTAGGATCTTTTTATTACCTAACAATGTTATGAAGAAGATTACGGCCCTTAACAAGCACTCTCTTTGGAGCTCTACGCCTGATTATAAGAAAAGCCCTCTTATCAAATGGGAAGATGCTTGCCTCCCAAAACAAGAACGTGGTTAAGTTCTCAAATTTATCATTTCTAATGAAGTATTTTCTCAAAATGGTCTTTCATACTTAATTATGTGTATTTGATTCAAATTTAAAAATATTTTCACATATTTTTAATAATTCATGAATTATTTATAATCAATGTTTAATTTTAATTTTACATAAAATTGTATAGTTAATGATTTTTACATGACATGTTTTAATTTGAGTTCTTGTAAGTGTTTTTGCTCTTCTGGTAAGGAAGATTAATTCCTAAAACTGGTGGATCTAATATATGCTATGTGCTTATTATATTATTCTTGAGGTTAAAAAAATATACTTGTAATACTTATTGGTATTTTTTTAACTCTCTACATTTCTTTTCAACTCAAATCAGTTATTTTTAATTCCTTTAAATCTTTTAGACTTTTACCACCATTGCAAGAGATCGTATTTCATCACCACAAAGTTAAATGAATTTAAGTAAATGACGAATAAATTAGTTGATCCAAATGCTAATTTCTACTTAAAAACTCTTTGAAAATCTGCCTTTTACCAAGATTCTAACACTAATTTGGTAGGGTACGCCACACCAAGGAAGTAGTGCAATCCCAAGGCAACACGTGAAAGCCAAATAGAAAGCTACTTGAATGGCTTTCCCCCTTAAAAAATTGAGTTAATATCGTGTGGGCCAATGACCCACATATCAGATATTAAACTGATAAGAACAGATACTACACTTAATCTTAGCCAAAAGGCCGAGAAAGGTATGAGGAATATGATGCAAAACCCGCCTATTTTATGGTATTGCAAAAGCATTATAGTTCCTTAGTGAAACGGTGTGGGAAAAAAACTTTATGGTCTCACGTGCTCCTCTTTCCTATTGATGTTACCCGTTTTGGTTTCATATCTTTAAAGGGCATGTTTGAGAATAGCGTTAGAGATTAGCGGTAGCGTTTTGAGAAGGTTATCTACGAGAAGGTTAAAACACTGACGCTAATCTCTAACGCTACATGTTGTTATTTGATATCGAAGACCAACAACCTAAAAATTTATAGCAAAAGGGCCAAATAGTATATTGTGATAACCATGACGATTACTATTCTGATGGCAATTGGGAATAGATATGTTTCAATTGTTTCTTGATGTTGGTTACTATTGTATTGGCATGTTTTGCTAGTTTTTATTGTATGTGGTAGGGCAGTGGTAGTTTGAGGATTTGTATACCAAATGGTTTGGTGCTTTAATATTACGTGCTTTGTTCTAAAAAAAAGTAGTACTCCCTTCATTATAAATAATACTAAAACTAATTTACCAAAATATTTTTTTCTAATGAGGTATTTTTTAAATTAGTCCTCAATAAATTTTAATTACATATTTGGTACTTTATAATTGAGATTTAATCCTTAAGTAGTTCTTCGTAAAAAAATATCGACTGAGTGGAGGGTATTTAGTGTTTTTCATTATCTAAATCTATATTAAGTTCTCAAATTTATCATTTTTAATGAAGTATTTTCTCAAAATGATCTTTTCTACTTAATGATGTATATTTAATTCAAACTTAAAAATATTTTAAGAATATTTTTAAAATATTTTTAAAAATATTTTAAAAATATTTTTAATAATTAATAGATTATGTATAATCAATAATTATTTTAATTTTACATAAAATTGCATAGTTAATAATTTTTACATGGCATGTTTTTATTTGAGTTTTTCTAAGTGTCTTTGCTCTTTCTGGTAAGGAAGATTAATTCCTAAAACTGGTGGATGTAATGTTTGCTATGTGCTTATTATATTATTCTCGAGGTTCAAACAAATATCCTCGTAATACTTATTGGTATTTATTTAAACTCTTTACATTTCTTTTCAACTCAAATCAATTATTTTTAATTCCTTTAAATTTTTTGGTCTTTTTTTCAATATTATTTATCTTGTTAATATTTATTCCAATTAATTATTTCTAGTTTTTAAACTCATTATCTTTAACAATATTCAATCCTAAACCGTGTACCACCATTGCAAGAGATCTTATTTCATCATCGCAATGGGATTCTTTTACTTGAGGAGTTCTTAATCACAAAGTATGAAAAATTAAAGAAAACGACACGATTAAATTATTTTATACATATTCAATTTCTTCCTAAAAAGCCTTTGACAGTATAAACTAAGACAAAAATTTTGACATTAATTTGGTGGGGTGTGTCGGGCCCAGGAAGTAGTGCAAGCCCAAGGCGACACATGAAAGCCCAAGTAGCAAGCTACTTTGATGGAGAGCATCTTCCACCAATCCACACCGCTCCATTGAAGAACACTCTCATCTAGTTTATTCAAGTTCAAATCCAAATCAAGACCAGCTTAGGGAGGTGAGGTTCAAAATTGAGGGAGTGGTTATGGGGGCTGAGATTGGGCTGGCCACTGCGGAGGTTAGCCTTGGAAACCAGGTGTCTCAGAACTAGTTGGAAGGAGCTGATGGATGTCATTGAAGTACAAATTTTAACCAGTTCTAAAAAACCGATCGAAGTACGTCGGTTTACTCGGGTTTGGTGATTTTGGTTTTCCATATAAGGAGGCTCGATTCGGTCGGTTAATACTTTTGGTTTTTTCGATTTTGAAACAAAACCGACTGATGCTCAGCCCTAGCTAAGGGAGTAAAAACACGTGCTAATTTGTTTTGTTCCTGCTCATATGCAAAATCAATACACAAATTTATTTTTAAATGGATATAATACGAAATTTCTTTCAGCTCTATTGCTGAGTTGGGGTAGAAAATGATGATGGGAAAAACAAGGACTGTTACCTCATTTTGATAGATTTTTAAAAATTCAAGTATTATGTATAATCAATGATTATATTAATTTTACATAAAAATGTAGTCAATACATTTTACATGATATGTTTTTGTATGAGTTTTTGTAAGTGTTTTTTCTCCTCTCTTAAGGAAGATTAATTCCTATATTGTTATTGGTATTTATTTAAAGTCTAAAACATTTCCTTTCGACTCAATTCAGTTATTTTTAATTCCTTTAAAATTTTAAGACTTCTTTCAAAATTTTCAAACTAATTCATATTTATTCCAATTAATTATTTCAAGTTTTTAAACTCATAATCATTAACAATATTCAATCCCATCTAGAGTAGCATACCGGCCACCATTGCAAGAGATCTCATTTCAGCACCAGAAAGTGATTCTTTTATATGGAGAGTTTTTAATCACAAAATAAACTAATTCAACAAGAGGCCGAATAAACATTATATCCAAATAATCAATTTCTTCCTATTAGCATTTGCCGGTAAAACACATGAACAATAATTTTAGTATCACTTTGGTAGGGTGTGCCGGGCCAAGGAAATAGTGCAGGCCCAAGGCGAAAGGCCCAAATAGCAAGCTACTTTGATGGGCCTTCACCATTAAAAAATTGAGTTAATATCGTGTGGGCCAATAGCCCACATATCAGATATTAAACTGATAAGAACAGATACTACACTTGATCTTAGCCAAAAGGCCGAGAAAGGTATAATTAAGAAAATGCAAAGGCCGCCTTATTTATACTATCTCAAAAGCCTTATTCTTCCCTAGTCAAACGGTGTGGGACAAAGGCTATGTGAAAATTTATACTTCAGTTTTGGTTTCATGTCTTTAAAGGTTCTTTATTTGTTTTTTTGAAAGGTTACGTTTCTTTATTAAAATTATCTGTGTATGTATGAAATTTTATGGTATTTAAAATAACTCTTTTTTACATAGTGAAGAATATACTTCCTAGATTTATCCTTCAAAAAAAATTCCTAGAGTTATATTTATTAAAAATAGATATTATCCTCATTCAAAAAATAAATCAAGTTGAATATAATATATCAATAAGGAGAAGAGAAAGAAGCTATAAATTGTAAGCTTGCAAATTACATGGACAATAGATCAATAAAATATTTCAATGATGAAAAAAACTTTATGCATTTTTGTTTTACTAATAAGAAATATTGTTATTATTGTTGTCACATTTAGTTGGGGTGATATATATATTCATTATGGAGTATGGTGCCTTCTTTTTTTATTAACTTCTACTTTGATAAAGGTAGTCAATTTTTCTGAACTTTGACTGCATAATATGGAAAAAATGAACTGATTTTTCATATAAATTCCATACCAATATATCCATTTTGAAAAATAATTTTGAAATATTTTATAATTGTAGCATAAATTAATATATAAACAGAGATATTAATAATCAAAGCGTTGCATTGGAGATCATGAAAGTCAAATGGAAAGTTAATTTTCAAATGAAGTGAGTATTTGTATGTGACAAAATTTATAAATTCCTTCATATAAGAATTTATGAACTTTTACAAATCAAAAAAGTGATCAACAAAATATTAATTACTTTAAAAATATAAATAAAAAGTCATGACTTAGTACAGAGTGAATTACTGGATATTTAAAAAATATGAACAAATATTCATGATTATAAAATAAGAATATAAATCTATATGCGACGCACTGCTCTTAATTGAACTCGCCAAGTTTAATGGATCTTGTGCTCGTTTGGAAAGAGTTTGAGATTTTTGACGTTGTGTAGAATTGGCATTTTTTTACTTAACATAAACTATTAAAATTTATCAAAATACTTATTTTATAAGTGTTATCGACTCGATTACAACGAAATATTTATTCATATTTTTCTCAACCTAATGACACACAAAGAACTAGTGCCTCACATAATTCTTGTTTGTGTTCTTATTTATTTATGCAACTTTATCCCTTAACCCCTATCATACATAAATTACATTCAACAATTCTAACATTTATTTGGTGGGGTCTATCCGACCAAGGAATTAGTGAAAGTCCAACGCAACACATGAATAGAGTGCATACAAATCAAATAAAATGTATTCGATTCGTGATTCGTATTCGAAAAGGATGATTCGTATTTTCTATATTCGAATTCGAAACCGAATACAAATCATATTTTAGATTCGGATTATTTTTGAATTCGAATACAAATATTAATAGATTCGATTCGTTTATTATTCGAATTATTTGAATATTATAATTTATAAATAAATTTACATATTATAATATTATAATACTATAATATATTAAATATTTGTGTACATATTTTAACATATTTTAATATATTAAAATTTTGTGTGCATATAAATTTATATATATTCGAATATCATAATTTATAAATAAATTTATATATATTCTAACATATTTTTACTACATTTTACATTATTATAAAATAATAATTTAATGTCTTTAAGAAACTTGTTTTAAGAAAAAAAATTACCAATATTTTCGAATTCGAATATTCGAATACAAATTCAAATACGTCAAATATCTATCGAATCAAATACGAATGTTTTTTAAAATTTGAATTATATACGAACCCGAATTCGAATACATATCACTTTAATCGAATACGAATCAAATAGTGATATATTTGCTTCGATTCGTATACACCCCTACACATGAAAGCCCAGGGTGAGGGAGCAAGCTACTTTGATGGACATTCTCTTTTAAAAAATTGAGTTAATATAGCGTGAGCCAACATCCTACATTTTAGATATAAACAAATAAGGTCAAATATCACACTTGATCTTAGCCAAAATGTCGAGAAATGTATATTTTGATAATAAGCACAATCCATATTGTTATAAGCTCTCAAAGGCATTCCCCTATGTGAATCGATGTAGGACGATAAAGATACCTCGGAGTAGAGCTAATCCTTCCCTTCATGTTTCACTCGTTCTAAGCTTTTCTATATGCTGCATAATTTTTTTGATCTCTTAAAACTCTATTACAAAAATATGCATCCGTCAGAATTCTCTCAGAACTGGTCGGACAGTCAATTGACAGAAGATAAACTAGATTATGACCACATGTTATACACTCTTACGGCTTCCATCCTAATTTAAATTATCTATTTTGATTTACGATGTTTGCTTGATACTATTTTCCAATCATTTTATAGGAGGGACTACTATTTTTCTACGAATTCTAAAATAATTTTACCATTATTCATTTCAAGGAAATTGCAGAAACACAACATTTTACACATTTAAAAACAAATTTTAACGAACATTTTGCATCTTTCAATACTTTTCTTAATTTCCACTAACCATTACTAAGTACTTTTTCCACAGACCCTAATTTGCTCTCTAATCACAACTCTTCCCCAGTTCCCTATTCTTCTACCATATAGTTCCAGATTAAAAGCTAAAACCAACAACAAAGAAGATAATAATGACAAGTAGAAACTTCAATAGGAATGTACTTGAACACTTGATTACTGCTATATTAAATCCAGCATAAGTTTCAAAATGCACAAACATAAACTTCGGGCAGTTCAAACATAATCTTCGCATCGAATTAACAAAAAAACAATCAAAATTTCAAAGTCTTAGCAGACACCAAAGAAGAGTCCCTCTCTAGTTCATCCTTCGGATCAAGGCGTTAATGTAATCCTCCCTGTTCCCAGCATCTCCTCCTTCCACATAGTGGTTTCTCTTTTTCTTGAGGCCACCCACCGGTGCCTTGAGTTGGAACGGCCACAAGAAATTGTTGGCTTCCTTGAAATGAGGTCCCACAGTGATGATCTCATGGACCAAATCTTCAATGCAGATGATGTTGTACTTGCCCAGCACCTGTGATTAATACACAAATTACAATCTTGCATTCATAATCGACAAACTTCGTGAGAAATTATAGAATCGAAGAAAGCACATTTTACCTGTTCAATGATGGAATTATCAGTCAAGGGAATCCTGTCCTTCTTAACCTTTCCATATCCCCTCTTGTAGATCAACTCCCTCACACTCTTCAAGTTTGGATACCTTTTTAGAACAAGGAAAAATCATTCAAACCCATGCAAAGATCCCATTATTACTACAATAATATGACGGGTAAATGATAGGTACCCAAAGGTGACATATGGCTCAACCCTGTGCAACATGTTGGTTGTAGCTTTGTTAACCTTTAGGAACACACCATTGAATATCTGTAGGAAAAGATAAAATGGCCAGTAAGGCATTTGTAGATGCAATTATTTATGGAAATACTCCGTAAAAGTCATTAAAAACTACCTGTCTCAAACGAAGAAGCTGCAGAATCTTTTTGGTGTTGGGATTCATGGCATTGATACTGGAATTTAATACAAGAAGCAAGAAACGTCAATTCTTTATAAATAGCCAAAGACTACCTGTCCTAATAGATAGTCGGTAAAACATCTAACTTATAGTACTCCGTATAATACAACACTTATAAATTATCCGTCAATTTTAGCAATGATTCTAAATTTAATTGTCATTCTAACTAAATTTAACATATTTGGTTGACACACTTTTTAGAAACAATAAAATACCCAAAAACGAAATGAAAATTAGTTTGTTTTATAAGGATCTCCTTTTGGAGACAGTTGAAGTAATACTTCCACTCTTGAAAATCAAACAAAAATGGAAGTATATGCATACCCACGGATGCGAATGATGAACAACAATTTGGGTTCAGGGCTGACGTAGAAACCTCCTTTTAGTCGAGCCTGACGCTTGAACAGAACAAGCTCCCTTTGCTGCATTAATATAACTTCTAAACTTAGATATACACAGCAATAGCTCAAAATCCCTGGATAGAACTAGAGAAAATAAGGAAAACAAGCCTCCAAAAGCACAGAACGTACCTGTTTTTCATATTCCTCAGCATATTGCTTAGCTCTCTTGAAAATAATCTTCCGCTTGGCAGCATTTTTCTTCCTGATAATATCAATCTCTTGTTTCTTCGCCAGTGCCCACTCCTGTTCCCTCTTCTGCTTCTTCAATACTGACTCAGGGACACATGGGGCTCCATTCTGTGCTTCAGCCATCTCTGGAGAGAACAAATCATAAGCTTTCATCTTCACAGTAGATAATTCAAACCATTAAATGAAATAACTAACTGAATATGACAGCATTTGTCAAACAAGAAAAGAAAAACACAATGATATGATGTAAGTCAGACATGACAAAGACCGCCATGAAGTAAAGCATATGAATGTACTAAGAACAATACTAAACAGAATTTAAAGAATCTGCACCTACACTGCGTCAGGATTTAAACATGCTAAAAGTTAGAAAATAGAGAGTTATTTCATAATAAGCTACTCCGTAGAAATAAATTGGTTGAGCACTTAAGGCTGACCACAACAATTAATGAAGAACGTGGTAACAAGTAGTGGAAAACATAATTCTTTCAATAAGAGTATAAACTCCCCTGTCTGAGCTAGAAAAGGATTTTTGTACTGTTTTTTAACTACCTTTTACAGATAAGAAAAATGAGCAAAGCCAAAGCAACAGCTTCAAATTGCACAAACACAATAATTTCATGGCACACAAGAAATTAGACATGAAATGAGGTTTATCTGACCAATTTGCAGTATATTTGGCTAACATGCTTCATATAGGGAAAAGAAGAACTTAGATAATCTTTAATAAAGAAATTAAAGATGACATAAAAAGGCACTTCACAAAAGAATACATTTCTATAACGAAATCAAATAATAATCTAAGATTCATGACTCCAACTAGCTCTTCGACCTGTTAAAGCATTACGAACTAGAAATGGGCCACCTAGAATCATGCTATCGACCCAAACACCCGTTGATAAAGACCTATCCGGCACCCGGATTCACACCCCTTAACAATTGATGTACTCTCAGGGCGTAAATCATCAGTTCCATGAGTTTAAATACATGAAGAAACAGTTTCTCTTCACCTAGTCTACTCTGAATTTAAAAAAAAATACAATTTCGAACACCTCTTTTCCGATGAGTCAATTTAAAGTTCAGAAAATAGTGTTAAAGACCCACATCACAAGCTTCAACCCAAATCCTAAACAAATAATGCTCAAAAACTGGGAAAAAACGTCATTTTCACGCAAATCGAGAAGCAGATTAATAAGATATCTCAGTTTTGATAAATAAAACTTAGAAAAACTGGTCACGGCCGTACATAAGTTCAACAACGATTCTGAGATTTCGAACTAAGAAGAAATGATCGAATGGCAAATCTACCAGATCTAAAAAGCTTTGTCTTCAAAAATGGAGGCGAAAGCCCTGGCCGCGAAACCCTAAAACCTTCGTCGCTCAATCCTCCTCATGCTCCGTATTCATTTAACATTTTAACCAGACAAATATGAATGAGTTTTGGGCCGGTCAAATTTAGGCGTGGCCCAATATTTATCTCTTTTCAAAGAACTCAAAACTCAAAAGTGCCATTTTAAAATTTAAAGATGATGTGGAATTGTGGAAATAAAGTTCAAAATTTGGAAAATGAAATTTGTTCCCTAAATTTTTTTTTTTAAAAAAACACCAAAACATGAGTAATATTAAGGCACTTTAAAAACAAAACATATGGATACAAGTAGTCAATCTTCATGTTTAACTAAAGAAATAATGAAATATCATGCTTCGTCTCCTACAAATAACATAGAAACTTAAGTCATGATCATTAGAAATTATGGAATATAATCTCTTCTAAGTGGTGATAGAGTTTTTTTGGACCAAATGCAAGTAATTCATGTAAAACATTTCTATTGAGTCAAACAGACATGTGGTATTATATTTAAAACGTTTGTCTTTTGCGTGAATCGGAATATAAGCAATAGGTTTAGGATTTAACAAAAAAATTGGGACCATAATACTCCCTAACGATACGTTTGGGACATTGAATATTTGTGCTCTTTCAAAGAAACATTGAATAAAAATAAAAATATTTAAAAAGTATTTCAAAATCGTAATAGAGACATTCTTGGAGTACATATAGTCAATACAACATTAACTTAGTTGAATCTTACCAAAATAAAAGGTACAAATAGTCAATGTCCATTTAAATATTTATGTTAGAATTCATTGAGAAAATACACTCCAAATATTGCAAATACACTCACTGTCCAAAATTAAATTATTATTGAGAAAATATGTTACTATTCACATGATTAAATTTTATCTATATATTTTGGTTATTCAACTAAAAAATAATATTCCTTCCGTTTCATATCTTTTTTCGTAGAGCATTATTCCAACTTCACATGAACTTTTATTTAATTGTATTTTCTCATGGCCTACATGATAAAATAAAATATTCTTGTCCTCACTTGTTTTATAGAACTTTTGATGTAGTTTATAAATATGTAAATTTTATTTTTTATTTTTATACCAATATTTAATTAAAAGAGATTGAAAAAACTTGAGATTTTTCTTTGTTTTGTGCAACGGGAAGAAACATACGGAGTAGTCTGAATTTATCATATCACATCGTATTTCATAAAAAAAATTATATAATAATTTTTAAAATGCGAGGAATACATATTTTTACATTTTTCCATAATTTTCCAATAAATTGAATTTAAAATATTATATTTTAATAAATATTATATTATTATTGACTCGATTAAAAAATGTTATTCCATGTTTGCTTATACTTTTTAAATCTAATGACGTAGTGTGAAGCAATACCTCCACCTCACTGGAACACGAACTTTGAAATAATATAAATCTACTCGGGTATAGAGCACCCCGAGGCCAAGTAAAAACTATATTACTCACAAAATACTCCTTCAGTGCAGTCTTTTTTTCCACTTTTGTTTTGGCACAAATACCAAGACAATGGGTGAAGTAAGACAACAAGACTTGTACGCTCTCGAATATGGTAAAAGACTTTCCCAGTTCTACCTGGATAGCTTGTAGTTACAACTTGTAATATATAATCAAAGTCAAAATCAATCAAAAGATCATTTTAAGTACCACTATTACACATTTTTACTATTTGCACCATCATACATCGAGAAATTTCTTTCACTTTCTTTTCATAATGTCATTAGTCATTCAATAAAATAATTAATTATATCCCCCGCGAGTTTTGTAAATCTTTTAACATAGTTCTTAAATATGTAATTTTAATTTTTTAATTCTATACCATTTTCATATAAAATAATTTAAGCTAACTTCAATTAAACATCGTAAACCAAAACAGACAATTTAAATTGATGCAAAAGAAATACAAAATTAATAGTGACATGACTATATGAGGCCAGTTTCCATGACATTGGTTGGATGACCCGCGTGTGCTCCGGTGCGCCGTTCGTAAAGTTAACGGTTCCTACCCCCAGTAAACCCCCCACTCCGCTCCGACCTAAACACGCCCCCCAAGTTGATTTTTGACTTTAGACTCAAATTTTGACTCCAAAGTCAAAATAAATTCGGGAGTGCAATTGAAGGGGGTAAAGGGGCGTGTTCGGGTCGGGGCAGAGTGGGGGTTTACCGGGGGATTAAGTGGAGTAGGAACCGTCAACTTTACGAACGGAGCAATGAAGCACCCTCGGGTCATCCCATGTCATTGGTTCTCAATGTCATGGGAACCAAGGTGTGACTATTATTCTATCAAATAACAAATGAAAATATAGAAAGAAAGTGAATAAAATATAAGTTATAAATAGTAAACAAACAATTTAATTCGGAATGAAAAGAGTAAAAAAAAAGTGATTGTCCATTTTCATACACTTTTTATAAATTACTTCCAATTCCAGACCAAAAAAAACCCATGATAATTCGCAATGTTATCAATAAACAAGAGGGAAAGGAAACTCTCTTGTGTTCAAAATCTCGATATTTAAAATAAAGCTCATATCAATCAACAAGTAAAGATACAAAATACTGTAAATGTTTGAGACACGAGACATCAGATAAAATGAGAATTGAAAAGAGAAAATGGAAGGAAAATCCCACATTGCTAAGGACATTGAAATGTTAGTTGCTCAGGCCTGCCTGTTCCTCTTCTTGGGACCTGATCTGGCAACCTTAAGGCTTCTGTGAACGACACTCAACCTCGCGAGAGCCGCCTTTTTCAAGTCTGGCCTATAATAGTTTTCGGCAACCTGCAAGCAATAATGCGTCAAAAAATGAAGCGGGATGACACTTTAAGGATGAAACGACACCCAAAAGATGGCAAGTAAAGGTAATATTGTAGATGAAATTTCACGTTTTCTTGAGTACGAGTAAACTGCTATAAGGCAGCTCGAATTAGGATACTGCAAAATTACATATTTAGACTTGCATTTCAAAATCCAGGAGTCATAGTTGTGGTCGAAAACCCATACATTGTATGGTTAATAGTAGTTTAGACATTTTTTAATACAATAACATCAAATCAAACAAACTTCATATATCATGGCATTCAAATCCAGCTTCTCAAACAAGGTAAAAGAGATTACATTAAAATACCATAATCATGCTGCACCCAATCCAAACAAGGCCTTAGAGAAAGTGTCACAAAACAAACACATGGCATGATCTTTGTTTTTCAAGAATCAAGATTTCACAAACTTTTAAACCAATTGCGGACACATGCAGATCATTCTTTTTTGCAAGTCTATTTTCTACCACTCATCTGCAAGTCTATTTTGTACCACTTCCCTTAAATTAATTCATCTTGATATGGATAGGAACCCATTTCCACCACTCTAATACTTGGACTACGCAAATTAGTAACTAAGACCTGAAACATATACCTGATTGGTAACAGCCTTGGCCATTCGGTGGAACTCCTTCTTCATGACAGACTTGTTTAACACACTAGCAGGTTTGTTCTGCTTCTTGGTCTTGGTGGTACCGAGAGTCACGGTTAGATCTTTACCCCCTTGAATGGTAACAGTTTTCTTGTTTGCCAAACCTATTAACCAATACCAACAGAATATATGCTCCAATACATCAGCAACAGCACTAAAGCAGGTTTACTTCATACAATTAGTGAATTAGACAGAGGAATGACCAACTAATACTAACAGAAAATAAAGATAACACTTTAACCACATCATTAATGACATTAAAGTATTCAGCTCTCATACAATTAGAATGGCTAACATTCAATTCAATTAAATTATATACTAATCTCTAATTGATTTCATGTCAAAACCTAGTATGACAGAGTACAATTGGGTAGTCTTAAGCTGTATAGGCAACAAACAGAAGACTAGTTTTCAATTCTCCTGAACAGAAGAAGAAAATCAAAAGAAACAATAGAAAGAGTCACAGTTACCGACGAACCAGAGTGCTTGTAGGAGTGAAAATTGTAGAGATTGTTAGGTTCCTTGCTGAAGACAACAGCGGCAGTGCCACTGCCAGACTGTCTGGCCACAAAAGAGTTGTTCTTCTTCACGATCTCCCACAACAACTGCTCAGGTATTGTAGCCATTTCTGCAGATTCAACCCTAAAAACATTAAAAAATCAAATATTACTAAGCATGACATAAAACAAAAGTGCACAACGCAAGGACAGCAGTTGTATCAACCCATGGAGAAAAGAAGGCTTTTGTTCTGATGCTTGACGGGTGAATAGAAAGATTGAAAGGTAAGATAAAAACCAGTTATATAGTGACTTTATAAAACCCTACCCCTATTAAACTAGGGGGGAGCCAGTAAGTCAATCCATTCGGCAGTTAGACACCCGTATTTACATCCCTTATTAATTGATGTACTCCCAGAGTGAATAAACCAATTTGGTTAGGATAGATCAAAACAAAAACAGTTTTGCTTCAAACTTCTCCCTTGGCTTGAGTGGTAGGAAGACCACCCACAAGCATTTTTAGATGGGAAGTTCATCTATATTCAAAGCCAAACAAAGACAGAGACTCTATGCACTTCAACAGGTTGAGAAAGTATTTATGAAGAGATAAAACATTGCAATAGAGTCAATAGTACTAAGAAAACAATTTTGCTTCAACTAGTCCACTCCAAGTAGAAAACAAGCACAATTTCTAACCTCTGTGCTGTTTAATCTATTTAATGTTCAGATAACAGTTTCAAGGACACGCATCACAAGCTTTAACCCAAAGCCAAAAGAAGTTAAAAGGAGTGTACTCACTCATTTTAGATTCAAAGTCACAAAGACAGATCTGAAACTGAACAGATGACACCTTCACATAGATTTTAGGAAATCCAGATGTAGAGTAATAAAATATCCTAGTTTTAAACAAAAATTTAGCAAAGCAAAAAACAACAGAACACAAACCAGCACAAGTTCGACAAGTATCCTCAAATTTCAAACTAAAAACAAAATACCATAAGGTAAATTTTGTAGGATCTAACGTTTTACCAGTTCATTGAGAACTGTGCTGAACTTGGCCTTTAGAAACCCTAGGGCCTAGACCATTCATCGCACGCTCTCTCAAACTAACGAAGATGGAAAAAATTAGGGATGGGCATGGTATAGCTCATGTTGGTAAACTAATTGGAATGGTACCATATCATTACTATTAAAATGGGTTCGGTACTTCAGTTAGTTCCGTATGGCTCAGTTTAGTCCAAAAATCAATTGGTTTGGAAAACTTTAAACAGAAAAGTACCATGTTGTATTAAAGCTAATATATATTCCGAGAATTACATTTGAAAAAATCAACACAAGTGAATTTGAATTGAAACAAAAGGAGTTCTATTCTAAAAACCACAAATATGGTTTTATCATCAAATTTCATAAACCAGTGCATTAGACTGCAAAAAGAAACATAAGACACTAAGTTCAGTTTACAAAAGAAAATAAAAAGTGAAAGTTCAATAGCCAAGAGTCTTGTCTAAGTTCAATAGTAAAAAAAACATAAAGACAGAAAGTTTAACTCAACTGTTCAAGTTATAAACAATTTAAAACTTCAAGATTACATGATATTTCATTTGGGCTTCCAAGCATACTGCATTTTTTGCTGAAAATAAAAAAAAACAAAAAAAAACTCAAAAATTTTCTGGAATCTCCTCAAAAGAGAGCTGGATATATTACAATGAGATAGTTCAACTGATGCGTAATGAACCAACAATTTTCTAACATTCAAGATTATGAAAGATCAAACAAAACACAGTAATTGGATTTGAAATGATGCATAAAACGGAAAATTTGAAACCCTCCTCAAATTAAATCAAAAGACATAAGTTCCTAGTGCTGTTCAGAGTGCTTTTAGCTGGCAAAAACAAAAAGCTGAAACAAAACAACGCAGCTAGTTGGCAAAAATAGGAGCTGAAACAGAAATAACATATCAAAGAATCATCGATCAACATTCTAAGGAAAAATAGATACTAAAATCTCAAAGAAATTTGGGTGCAAATGAAATCAACTCGTGATTAAATTCACAAAACTAGATGAAAACTACAGAATTCAAGCCCTAACAAAGCACAAATTCAAGAATTGGAGTTAGGAGACCCGTAGAGAAACACGCATGGAGAAATATATACCAAAGAACATCAGCACGGATGAAAACCCTAGAACCGAAAAACACACGGAAGTGAGAGGATACAGAGAAACACAAACCTGCTGAAGATGGCTATGCCAGTGAGATGTTGAAACTGGAAAGGAAGGCTGAAGCTCGACGGAAAGAAGAGACGGAGAAGCTCTGAAAGAAGAGAAGAAACCCTATAAGATCATTTGGGCTTTCAACTAAACAAAGTCACAAACGCATGCTTTTGGGTCACTAGGTCCACAATTAGGGCTGGGTTGGAAAAAAATCAAAAATCGCAAACAAAACCGATCGAAACAAGATAGAAAAAAAATTAATCGAAAAAACGAAGTTGAGTGTATAAAAATCAAACTGAACCGTTATTGTTTTGCTTTTTACTTTGAAAAATCGAACCAAATCGAATAAATCGGACTTTCTCAGGTCTCCACTTTATTTATAAGATTATATGTGATATGTAAAATAAATTATAAAAATATAAATACAAATAATTGACTAGTCGATTATAAGTTATTTTTTTAACTATTAATTAAACATTTTAAACCATCTTATAAACTTTAAAAACCTAAGAATATAACATCAATAACTAATCTAATACAGAATTATATTAACATTAAAAATTGATACGAGAAATTTACATGTTTACATAAAAAAACATTAATGTTATAATGGAAATTAAATTATTATACTAAAAAATGCAAATTCTCCTATATGTTTGTTGGGCACTCAACACATATTTTTTAATTTATGTAAAATTGAATTGAATATAACACTAACCTTTCATTCGATTTTGGCTTTGTGTAAAAAACAAACTAAAACACTGAACCCAATCCTACATATTGCTTCATCGAGTTAGTATTTTTATAATTTTTAATGCTTATAAATTTTTATTTTATAAAACAAAAAATCCAAAATAAAAACCGCATAAATTTCTTAAAAACCGAATAACTTTGTGTAAAATACTACTACTTCCGTCCCAAAAAGATTTACACGTTTTGACTAAAGTTGAAATTAAGGAAGGGATAATTTTGTGTTGACTTTCCAAAAATAATGTTGATGTGATGGGTAAAAGTAGCATGTGATTTGCAGATTAATAGAAAAAATGTATGATGTGATAGGTAGGGTTTGAAAAAGTAAGGGGTAAAAGTAGGTTTTTAATAGAAATGGGTAGGAGATGGTGGGACGTAATTTTTTTGAAAGATTTAAATCTTTTTGGGACGGAGGGAGTATTTTTTTTAGGACGGGAAAGAATTTGTTTGATTTTTTTAATGAACATTCTTTGATTTCTTTCACACATTTCCATTATTTCAGTTTGGTTGTGCACATTGTGATCTATTTCGATTTAAGTTTCAAAAAACAATTATGAGTGCTCAATAATTATTTTTCTAAGAAGTTATCAATAAAATTTAATGTTCTATATATGTGGACTTTTTTACTTTGAAAGTATCCCAATTTTGAGTATTGTAACAAAAAATTACCTCATCCTTAAGATACAAGAAAAAGATATCCTAACTTTAAAAAATGAAATAAAAGGGTATCCTTGTCTATGAAATACCTACTCCCTCCGTCTCTGAGTGTTTATCCACTTTCATTTTTATACACCATTCAATGCACTTCTTTATTCCATTTTATCTTGTAATTTGTATATTAAAAAATTATAAAAATTATATATTAATAATCTATATGTTAAGACGAATCAAACAAGATCACACATCACTATTTTTAGGCTTACACATTGAGAGAATTTGATAAGTCAAAGTGTTTAGATGAACAGTTCCAAAAGTCAAAAGTGGACAAACACTCAGGGACGGACCAAGTATTTATTACTCCCTTCATCCAAAAAAAATTTCTGGTATTGATATTGCATGGAGATTAAGAAAAATTAGATAGTGTAATAACTTTTCACGATTTGTTTTTTATGTGATTAAATAAAGTAAATAGTGTAGATAAAAAGTTGAAGTATAATGGAACATTTATTAAACTTTTGTTGCCAAAATAAGAAACGAGAAAGAAATTTTTGGACGACCCAAAACGGAAAGTGAGAAAAAATTAATAGACGAATGGAGTAAAAATTAAAAATAAAAAAAGGAAAGTGAGAAAAAAATTAATAGACGAATGGAGTATAAATTAAAAATAGAGTATCTTTTTATTACAAGACTCGAAGTTAAGATACCTCATAACTCCTAAGTAAAAAGACCTATATGTGCCACGTTCTTTAGAAATTAAACTCTTAACTTTCAATTTCTTCCAACTTTGTTTAGTTCCTTCTAGTTTTTCTAATTTGTCTAATTAATCGCATTTTCATAGTACCCTTTCTACTCCCTTAATAATTACTCTAAAAAAAAGTTGTATTTTTAATGTGATAATAATAATAATAATAATAATAATCATCATCATCATCATTATATTATTATATAATTAGTAGTAGTATTTTTAGTATTATCTTCATCATTATATTATAATTAGTAGTAATATTATTAGCATTATCTTCATTATTATTATTACAAGTATTAGGTTCATAACTATAATTTATAAATTATTTCATTTGTTTCCAGTTTCTATGTCACTCTTTTTATGATTCACACGCATTATAACTTTTTCTTCAACTTTTTAATATAAATAATATAATTTTTTTGTTTATTAATCAACATAATAAAATAGAAAAACATCATATTTTGAACTATATTTAAAAATTAGGAGTTCTATATTTTTATTCTCAAAATAAAAGTTATATAATGTAAATATAATGTCAATCATGAAAGAAAATAAATTGATTTTATCGCATTATGTGATAATATTTAAAAAAAATTGTAATATATAAAGTGTAATTAGAAATATATTATTTTATAATAAATACTGCATTAATAAATTGAGATACATATCATACATGCAACATGACTACCATAGCTTTTAAAATTTAATATTTTAATATTTACGCTCGCTTTATATTCTAATTTTAAAGTATGTGAAAGTTGTTTTTTTGTATGAAAAATGACAATAGATTTTCTATCTTAAAGACATTGATTAAGATAACATGATTATGAATTTATAATAATACTAATAATAATAATAAATTAATAATAATGACAAATTTTTACAGTTTTTTTAGATTTTCTAAATTTTTTTCCTTGTTCTTTAAGTTAAGAAATTTCCCTAGATAAGAAAAAAATATGAAAAATACCAAAACAAGAGTTCTAAGAGCATCTCGAACACATACTTTGAAAAATGGTCAACTAAATGTTAAAGTAGATCATTCACACTGTTATCAAAATAGATCATTCAGTGCTATTGACTCTATTGCAAATATGTAGTATATGTTCATATTATTGTCAATTTAACAACGCACAAATTGTCAATGTTTCTACTTTTGCTGGGGCTTGAATATGGGTGAACTTCTCATATCTTTCTTTTTCCTTTTTATTTCGTCATTAGTTTCTAAATATCGAAACAACAATTATATTCTTTTCATGTTTCCCCTCACATTTTTTTAATCATTTTCTTTTCTTTTATTTTCTTTTTCTCGGTCCAAAAGGTGGAATCGCCCACCCCAGGCGCCCCCACCCCCTTGCCCGACAGGAATGATGGAGGATGTAAATCATGGTGACTCAGTCGGCCAAGAACGCTAGACCCGTGCCCACCGCGCACAAGGAGCCTCCTCACCCTTTATGGGATTTTTGGATAGCTCCCACACTGCCGCTTGCGGGACTCGATCCCTGGTCATCGGTCCAAGATTTCACGCTCTTGACCAACTGAGCTACCCATGCGGGCTTTATTTTATTTTCTTTTTCTCATCCAAACAAATGGTTAACACCACACATTTATTACTATTAGGGTCCGTTTGGTATACGAAATTGGAATTGAATTGGAATTGAAATTTCATGAGATTTAATTCCATAGAATTGAATTCTGTCAATTCCAATTCATTTTTTGCACTATCAATTCTAAATCCACATAATTTTTATGCTACCAAACATCTGAATTGGAATTCAAGTCTTCAATTCTAATTCCACAGTTTGAATTCCATGTATCAAACGGGGCTTTAAAGATTTCTCGAACAAATGATATTCATTTCCTTCTAAACTAATCAAAGTTAGGGAGTAATTTACTTTACCCTCATATAAGATGGACTCTAAGATATTCCATTGGGAGCACAACCTAATCACATGCGTCATTTCTTTCTCTCTCTCTCTCCCTTATTTTTGATTGTTACTCCATTTTTTTAATTATTAAGATAATCTTTACTCAATATTTCCCCGTTCATAAATAAAGTTTTTGTTGTGCGTTACGATATTTGACTGAAATTATTTTTAAATTATTTTATATGAAAATGGCATGTAATTAGAAAATAAAAATTACATATTTAAAAACTATATTAAAATACGACAAAAAAATGTCACTAAAATGATTAAAGTTTAATTTGACCTGGTGAATAGTAAATAAAAACTTTATTGTTGGACACATCCCCCACTCTTTAGCTAAACTTTTTAAAAAATGTAAACATGTAAATTCAATTAAGAAAATAATTTAAGCTCGCTAGAAATAATGCAAACTCATGGAAAATACATAAAATTAAACGACGTATTATGTATTTCCTTTTTTAAAAAAAAAATTGTTATTCATTGTCATGTCTATTATTATTTTCTCAAAGTATGGTCAATAATTGTACTAAAAAAATTATATTCAATAGGATTCTGTAGTTATATGATCGAGTCGCGTAACTCCATCTAGAAATATATTACTCGAATATAGAAAATATAAATAAATATAATTCTCTAGTTAATAATCTGTATAATTAAATTGTTTAATCGAAAATAAAAAATATAAAATGCATATAAAAGTTATTTATAAAATTATTGACTTATTTATTTAGATATCCTCCGATCCCTAATATTGAATAATGGGAAGCGTACGTAGACGGGGAAGAAAATGTAAACAACAAGACTCCACTTTAATCTCTCTCGGCCCGTCCTTATATATATACTTATATATTGAGCTCTCAAAGAGAAATTATTAAAGAAAAAAAAATCATTAGTGTTGCATATTTATTTGAATTATTGACTCTTGTCTTCAACAATTTCTAACCAAGAACTGTACATTTTAAGGCCAGGTTAACTTTTTCTATCCCTTTATGCATTATTGTTTTCTATGTAAATCTGGTTGTTATAATTCTCAACTTATTTATTTATCCGATCTGAATGTATAAATATAACATAAACTTTTGTTAAATTTTTTTAACTTAAATCTTATTCGTAGTATATAAACAAAAATAAAATTTATCTCACTAAAAATATTATCAAAAGACCTAAATTATAAGAAGAGACCTGGTCGATTATATATTATCAAAATAAATAAATAAAAAGAATAAAGTACTCCGTATATACGAGCTATGGTCCGTGGACAGTGAGCAATATCATACTCCATTTGTCCGATTTTTTTCTCCATTTTATACTTCTGCTTTCAATTAAAATCTGTCTTCCATTTCTATTAATTATTAGTCTATCTATCACATCATTTATATTCACTAGTACCTTGATCTATTCATTACATTTAAATCTTATCCTACAATAAATTAACACAAAAATTACATAATTTTTTAATCTTACCATTTTTTGGGATGGAGACATGGAGGCAGGGCCGGCCCTGAAAAAATGAAAAAAAATAAAATTGGCCCAGTCCAAAATTCATATTTTAGGCCTTATTTTTTTTAGAATATATACTTGTGCTTTAAAATTAATGCCAAAATTAAAAATATAGGACTCTAAAACTTTAGGGGTCCTTTGCGATTGACCACTTTGCACACCCTTCGGATCACCCATGGATGGAGGGAGTATTTTTTCAGGGAGCATGCATATAATTAATGAAGTTCCTAATGTTTAATTTGTCATTTTGTTTTACCGTAGGTGATTTGATGAGAATGGATGTAAAGATAGAGAACAACCGTTTCTCCTCCTCCTCCATGTTTCTTCTTCTTCCTCTCATCTCATTGCTTCTCCTCCAAGCAATAATAGCATTGGGCTCATGTGATCTTGGAACAGACAAACAAGCCCTTCTGGATTTTGCTAATACCCTTCACAATGTTCCCCGTGGACGTCTGCGATGGACCTCCACGGAGGCGGCCGCCGCCGACCCAATCTGCACCTCATGGGTCAGCGTGACCTGCAGCTCGGACCGAAGTCGGGTCGTCGAACTCCGACTTCTCGGCTTCGGGCTCCGCGGTACCATTTCGGGAAACACCACAATCGGGAGGCTCGACGCGCTCGAGAGGCTCGACCTCAGGAACAACTCCCTGTTCGGGGCCATACCGCCGAACCTCAACTTCCCGCGTCTCAGGCATCTGAACCTGAGCGGGAACCGTTTCAGTGGGCCCGTCCCCCAATCACTCAGAGGGTTTCCTCCTTCGTCGTTCGGAGGGAACCCTCTGCTGTGTGGCGGCCTGGATCTTGATCTTATCGAGACAAACGTCGTATCACCATGGACCGGTCCATTGGGTCGCCGGTCGTTAAAGTCCAAGAAAAAGAAGGGACTTAGCAAGAAAACTAAACGTGATCTTATTATTATATCAGTTGTAATTGTGATATTATTGGTATTTCTTTGCTGCGCTCGTGATATGTTAAAAAGGTGTCGTCACTAATTTGTTTCAAAAAATAAATATATGAGAATGTCGATGAATAATAAATGTCTAAATCATTATTGTAATTAAGGTTACGTTGAGTTCATCCATTCAAATCAATAAAATCATGCATAAGTGTTACATATTTGAATAATTGAATTGATCATGACTCTTTTCTCCAATAATTCCTTATATATATATTCAAGGTCAGGTTAATTCTTTATATCTCTTTGTGTAATTATGGGTAAATATAATTTTGTTAAAGAAGAACATTATGGCACTGTGTGAGGGATAGAGTATCTGTAATTAAAGTAGTAATCCGTATTTAATGGGTTAATTTATTTGTAATGAATAATGGGAAGCTTAGATGATGGTGATGAATTGTAAACAACAAGACTCCACTTTATTCTCTTAACTACATCTCTATACTTGTAAGTAAGGTTCGTTGAGCTTAATTATCTATTGAAACTTTAATGGTTGAATGTGTGTGTGTGTGAATTCAACACTTTTCCAAGTGAAATTTGCACTAAATAGGACTAAAACATAATGACTTTCCTAATGTAGGACTTAATTTTTTTTATTTCATAAATAGGACTTAATAATGACCTAGTAGAAAGAATAATGTCCTATAATCATGAACATTTAGTTGAATAATGACTACTTGATAATGACCAAAAGTCCTAGATTGGGAAATAAAAACATATAGTCCTATATTGGGAAAGTCATTATGTTTTAGTCCTATTTAAGTAAATTTCTCTTTCTCCAATAATTTCTAACATTTCAAGGCCATCAAGGTCAACTTTTTGTATTCCTTTTGTGTATTTATTAATAATAATGTTCATCTCAAATTAGACACTTAGCTGGTTTAGTGTGAGAGTAGCTACCCCATCAGAAAATTGAATAAAAAAGTAATCAAAATATATATAAGCTATTGAGTTAAAATAAGTAATTGATTAGATTTAATCTTTTAATGTAGTTCAGCCCAAGTTTGCTAAGGTGTCCGTCTAGGCTTTCATTCCCAGTAACCCTGGTCTTTAGCCCAGTTGTCCGTGTGGAACGTATATCCAATGACATGTGGCTTGTTTAACCCGATTGCTCGTTCCATACCCAGCGGCTCGTGGTCCTTTAGGTGCTGGCGCTCAAAAAAAATCAAGGGGACGAGAGTCCATTTGCAAGTGGTCAACCAGTTAGATTCAAAATGGCTCAGTCGTCCACTTGAAGGGTAGTGTTAGAGTCTGTGCCACATCGGAAATTGAATAGAAAAGTAATCAATATATAAGCTTTTGAGTTGAACTAACTAGGTAATCGATTAGATTCAATCTTTTAATGTTGTTCACCCCAAGTGTCTTATTGCTCAATCTATTTATCCTTACCGTAGTTTTAAAAATCAAACCGAATTGGCCGGTTCGGCCTGAAAACTAGTGAACCGGTCACCAAACCAGTCCGGTTGGGAGGGTCAGACTGCAACACACATCCAACCGCTGTGAACCAGTATCAACCCTCGGTCGAACCGGAAAACGTTGCCGGTTTTTGATCGGATGAGTTCACTTTTGTAGCTAAAGTTAGGACAAGATTTGAAAGGTTAATAAGATTTGTTTAGGATTTCGTATACCACTCCACGCATTTTTTAGATTTTTGTGCATTTGGGTTTATATGGGCTTTATTTTCTGGGCTCCATTACTATTATATTTTTGGGCTTGTAATGTTATTTTTTCAATCATAAATCATTATGTGTGTGTGTGCATATATATAATTTTTAAAATATGTATGAACCACTGGTTCGACCAATGAACCACTAAAATAGTTTCAAGACCAGTTCTAACATCGGTCCGGTTTTAAAAATTATGATCCTTACCCCATCCTAATTTTATTATGTAGGAATGAATGAAGTATTTACGCTTGTTAAGTAATTAGAGCACTATACGGATTCAAACATTCTCTCTATGCTATATCAATTTTAACTCTTTTTTTGACTTATATCACAGTTTCACAGAAAATACTTTCTGATGTATCGTTCGAGGGGGAGCCGCTTTAAGCGTGATATGGGTTGACGTGACAGGAATGTTACTTTTCTTAGTTTACCCCATTTAATTTATAAAAATTTTGGCAGTTTTTTTTTCCAACAAAGGAGGAGAAGAGATTCAAAACAGTTGAGATCCATCTGTTTTTGTCAAAAAGAATTGCCAAAGGAGAAATTGTTATTTCTATAGCATGTTGACATTATTTTATTGACAAATGAATATCTCGGTTTAGAATTATTTGTTGCTATTTTAGAGTTTGAGTCATGATATGCATAGAAGATGATAAAGGATAGATCTTGAAGAAAGAATGATAATTCTGCCTATTTGATCTACTATTGGGCTGGAACTTCTAAGTTTTCAGGTGATGGAAATATATACTCCCTCCGTCCTATAATGATCTTCCCAGAGCACTATTCCAACTTCACAGAAATTTATATTTATTTGTGTTTTTTCATGGCCTATATGATAAAATAAAATATTCTTGTCACCACTTGTTTTGTTGAACTTTTGATGTAGTTTTTAAATATGTATGTTTTATTTTTTTATTTCTATACCAATATTTAAATAAAATAGATTGAAAAAACTTGAGATTTTTCTTTATTTTGCGAATCGGGAAAATCATTATAGGACGGAGAGAGTATATAGATATACACACAACAAAGGTGGGAGAAGAAAGGGAGCCACACAATTTTTTTTTGGAGTATCAGACTATATATACAGTCTATATTGTTGGGGATCTACTTCAACCAGTTCCTAAAACTAGCTAGCTAGATATAAACAGATTTTATCGTTAAATCACGTGTAAGAAGATTAAGTCAGTTCATAGATAGAATCTATTAAAGTTGAGAGTATAATCTTTACAATGATTTAGTAGAATGGGTGTTATACGAGCGTGGACTCTCCAGAGTAGAAGAGTTTGCTCCAAACTGCATAAACAACTCTTTTGCATTTTTTACTTTATATTATGCGTGTGTGTAATTGACGGAGAAAGTGTTATACTCCCTCCGTCCTATAATGATCTTCCCGGTTCGCAAAACGAAGAAAAATCTCAAGTTTTTTCAATCTATTTTATTTAAATATTGGTATAGAAATAAAAAATAAAATATACATATTTAAAAACTACACCAAAAGTTCAACAAAACAAGTGGTGACAAGAATATTTTATTTTATCATATAGGCCATGAAAAAACACAAATAAATATAAATTCCCGTCCACTGCATAGACTTTTTCTGATGTCAGCCCAATATGTAATAGCAAAATCCTTGCTCTATCAGTTCTGCCTCTTCGGTTTTACCTCTCCTCTTCAATCTTCAGAGTACTCCGTATTATTTGTTTCAATTTTTTTCGAAATTTTTATATTCCAAATTATTAGCATGCGTTTTATATTTTTCCCACTTTTTGTTTGAATTGGGAGAAATTTGTGTTTCGAAATTTTCTAAAATTTCCACTTTTTGTTTCAGATTTTCTTAAGGGTTCCACATCTGATCTTAAATTAGTTTCTTATTCGAAGTTAAAAATCTCATTTATATGTCTTCTCTTTTAATATTTCTCTAACATATTGCAATAGAAATAATGTCTTCTTTTTTTTGCATAATCATTCTTAATTTGTCCATAAATTTCTTATTTCAGTTTTATTTAATATTCCCTTCGTTCTAAAAAACATTTCCTCTTTCATTTTTTTCATTTCCAACAAAACACTTCCACTTTCTATTAAAAACCCACTTTTACCCTTACTTTTTCGTACCTTACCTATCACATCATACTTTTTCTCTAATAATCTATCTATCACATCTTACTTTTATCTATCACATCAAGGGCAAAATTGGAGGTCAACTACAATTTAACACTTCCTTATTTTTACACTATATCAAACTAGGAACTCTTTTTGAAAACGGAGGGAGTATAAAAAACTGATTTGTCTTGTTAATTTGTTCTTAAAAACGGACTTATTTTTTTAAATATCTTATACTTCATCCATCTCATAAAAGGATTCCTATTTAAAAAGAGGCGCGTCTTTAAAATTAGTAATTTTAGTGTTTTTTAATTATGACTATCAATCCTACGCATCTCATCTTATTCTATTATAAAGTAAGAACAAAATTAGAAAATAATACTAAAATTACTCATTTTAAAGACATGTCTTTTTTCAAACATGAAAAATTAATGATCTCAAGGCCAATATTTCTAAATTGCACTTGGCCTTTCAGAATGATTGGGTGGGCCTAATCATCTGTCTTTGTGACAATGTTACAGTATCTTTTGTAGAAATCATCCTAAATAGGACTAAAACATAGAGAAAAGTATTAAAATAGGACTTTCATGTTTTTTTCCTGGATTAGGACTTTGCAATGTGGTAATGTGACTTTGCATTGTGGTAATGTGGCAGTGTACATGTGCAAATTACTATACTTTTTTTGGTAATGTATATGACCATGTTTGGTAATGTAAGTCATATTTCGGGAATAAAAACATGGAAGTCTTATTTTGGTATATTTTCAATGTTTTAGTCTTACTTTGGTCTTTCTCCCTATCTTTTGTTGCAGTCTCTTTGCATAGATTATTTTTATTTAATTTGGTAATTTCCACTGCACACCGCGTTATTATTTCATGTGAGAGTCTATCCCACATCTGAAGTTGAATGGAACATTAATCATATATATAAGTTTCTGTGTTGAACTAAGAAATCAATTGAATTTAATCTTTTAATGTGGTTTAACCAAAGTGGCTTATGACATAATGTAGTGATCCCTATGCCATTCTAAATTTTATCATTTCATAAATATCTTATTTGAAAGGAATATTTTTTTTAATACTAAATAAAAAACGTAACTTTTCTAGCTCTCATGACCTAAGTATTGAGAGATCCTTACTGTTATTTACCTATTGTACGTAATTCAGTAAAACATTATTTAATTCATTTATTTATTTGTAATCAATAATGGGAAGCGTAGATCGTGAAGAAATGTAAACAACAAGACTCCACTTTTTGTGACAAAAAAAAAACAAGACTCCACTTTTACTGTTATTTATCTATTAAAAGTAATTAGATAAAATATTACGCCGTAAGTTTTTAATTGATTTTTTCTACTATTGTACTTCTTCCGTCCCGTAAAAAAAGTTCTCCTTTTTTTTCATCCGTCTCAAAAAACACTTCTCTTTTCTTTTTAAAAAGTCACTTTTACCCCTACTAATTCTTAACTTACCTATCAGATCATATTTTTTGTCTATTAATCCATCCATCTCATCCTATTTTATCCATCACATCAAAGGGCATTTTTGGAAATTCAACACCAAAATACACTCCCCTTAAATCATCAAAAAGTCAAAACGGAAATTTTTTTGCGGAAGGGAGGAAGTATTATTAAATTGATTAATTTATTTAGATATATTCCGTAATGAATGATGGGAAGGAAAATGTAAACAAGACTCCACTTTAACTTCTCCCGCCCGTCCCTATATATACTTAGAGCATTTGCAATGGCGAGGAGAATAGCCATTGCTTTTTGGCTCTCTCCGCGACTCATTGCCGAGGCATGGAATATGTTTGCCCAGTCCTTCTTCATGTTTTGTTTTCCCAGTCCTTCTCATGTTTTCTAATTTTGTTTGCCTAGTCCTTTTCATGTTTTCTAATTTATTTTGTTTAAATTGTATTATGATTTTTAAATTTGTTAATTTAATTATCCAATATAAAATATTTTTATTTTTACTTTCAATTTCTATTTTTATATAAAAAAAGCTTTTTCTATAAAGGTAATAGAAATACCGAGTACTTGTATATTAAAAGAGATGATAAAAATAATTTTTATTAGTTAATATACAACACCAAAAAATAAAAAAATAAGAAAAGTAATGACATGCCATTGTAGAACTTGCCACTCCACTCATTTGCCACTCTATGACTGGACCTATTTTAATTGGTTGAAATATGCTCCGTCATCGTGTGGCATTTCATTTATTTACTTGTCATTGCTCATGCTCTTACTATATATTAAGGCATTTTTCTATCCCTTTGTGCATTTATGTTCTCTATGTATGCAAATGTAAATGTATGTAAAGTAATTTAATTTTCAACTTTATTTATTCTTATCTATAAATTTGATCAAATTATTTTTAATTACACATTCTTTAAATTGTAGCACTGAGTTAGTGTTTTTTTAGGGAGCATACATATATATGATGAAGTTCTAATGTTTAATTTATGATTGTTTTATTGTAGGTGATCTTGGAAAATTAAAATGAATGTAAGAAAGGGAGAGAACAATTATTGTTTGTCCTCATCCTCCATGTTTCTTCTTCTCCCTCTTATTTCATTACTTCTCCTCCAAGCAAGAATAGCATTATTGGCCGCATGCGATATTACAACAGACAAACAAGCCCTTTTAGATTTTGCTAATACTCTTCACAATGCTCCCCGTGGACGTCTCGGATGGACCTCCACGGAGGCGGCCGCCGCCGACCCAGTCTGCACCTCATGGGTCGGCGTGACCTGCAGTCCGGACCGAAGTCGGGTCGTCGAACTCCGACTTCCCGACTTCGGGATCCGCGGTACTATTTCTGGAGACACCGCAATCGGGAGGCTCGACGCGCTAGAGAAGCTCGACCTCAGGAACAACTCCTTGTTTGGGGTTTTGCCGCCGGGCCTCAACTTCCCGCGCCTCACGCATCTGAACCTGAGCGGCAATTGTTTCAGTGGCTCCATTCCCGCAACACTCAGAGGGTTTCCTCCTTCGTCGTTCGGGGGAAACCCTCTGCTGTGTGGGCCGCCGCTGACACAGAACCGGTGTCGTGGTGGGCCGCCGGATCGTGAGACACATTTGGTGATATCCCCACCATCAGCCGGCGGTTCATTGGGTCGCCGGTCTTTAAAGAGTCGTAGCAAGAAGAAAACTAGAGTGGTAGTCATATATACAGTCGGTGGCATTGGGGTGTTCATACTCGGTTTCGCATGTGGGATAGTGATGACACTACTTTGGATTCATAATCGTACGTAGTGGCTAAGAATTTGAGTGATCAATATAATGTAATATTAAGTGCATCTGTACGTGTACCTATATATATATTTATACATTGATGTATACTTGGTGTGCTCTTAAGCTGGGTTTTCAAACTAGAAATATTTCTACTAAGTAGCACTAAAATTTAAGTCATTTTTCTAAATAGCACTTAAATTGTTTTAGTCTCTGAATGTCTAGTGATGACGAATATTTACTTGAATAATGACTAATGCATAATGACTAAAAGTGCTACATTGGGAAAAAACACATGTGATACTATTTAGAGAAAATCATTAGAGAAATTTACCTAAATAGGACTAAAACATAATGACTTTCCCAATATAGGACTATATGTTTTTATTTCCCAATGTAGGACCTTTGGTCATTATGAAGTAGTCATTATTCAAGCAAATGTCCATCATTACTGGACATTATTCCTCCCACTAGATCATTATTAAGTTCTATTTAGGGAATAAAAAGTTTAAGTCCTACATTAGAAAAATATTATGTTTTATTCCTATTTAGTGCAAATTTCACAAATCATTACTCCATATGTTTTAGTGTTATTTAAGTAAATTTACCTTCAAACTACTATTCTCTAATACGGAGTACATGGTACCCATTGTATATGCCCCTTTATATACACTCTAGCTAATACTCTAATCTACTAGCTTTATCATGTAAGCCGTGTTTGGTTCCCATATGCCTACGTAAGAAAAAGAAAGAAAGAATAATATTTCTCTCCTTTTCCTCATTGAAATCGATCGATTTCAGTGCAATTCGTTATGAATTCATGCACATTTTGTGTTACAACAAAATCTGCATAATCCAAATCGGGTTGTTACTAGATAGTATCTACATGATAGCCAATTTAAAATATTTCATTCATTCGTATTAATTTTAAATAAACATAAGTTAATTGAAGTAAACAAATCAAACATTGCCAAATCCTTTGAAAATAACATCATTAAAATATTTGTGTAATTTTAATTAAATAAAATCAATAGAGTAATTAATTTACAGGCGACGGCAGGGGGTTGTAGGCAAAGTCCGAAAACAGATCCCTGCGATGAAGGGGGTTGCGATGGCGGGAGGTTTTGGAGAGTGGGGAGAGGGAAGTGACAAGAACTAGCTAGACAGGTCGTCTGCAATGGTGCCGAATACTGGGCGGCGGTAAAGCTAGAGAGTTGCCGCTGGCGGTTGCAACAATGGTAGATGGCTCAGGCGGTGGAGAGGGAAAAGGTCTGAAGGGTATAATGGAAAAGTCAATACAATTTTTATCACATTTATTTTTAATTAACACTGTCGTTTCAATACTTATTTATTTTAAGTGAAAATTAGAATTAGATTTTTTTGAAATTGGTTATTAAAGTCTAGGATATACGGAGTATTTTAGTGCATTGCATCTTCTTCACGCGTACTTAAAAATGTACGGAGTACTAATAAGCCAATTCTACCTAAAAAAATTGAAACTGCACTTCAATAATGAAATATAAAATATTAATAATTAGAATGCAAGAAATGCAAATTAAACTAAAGATAACGAAATATTCCCTCCGTCCCTCTATAGTTTCTTCTCAATTCGTGTTACAATGTTTGCATAATAGCCACACATTTTGTGGGGGGCTTACGGCGGAGTTGGGGTGAGGTGCAGAGGCGGGAGTAGGGTGGGGGTTTAGGGGGTGGGTTAGGGGCAGGAATCATCAATTTTGCGAACGGAGCACCGGAGGTGCCCCAAAATGCCAATGGCATCGCTAGTGGCACCGTACTCCGGTGTCACTAGAACTAACCCCACCGATAAAAAATACAAATTACACTGTTCATAGGCCTTGTTTGGATACTAGCAGTTGGCAGTTGGCTGTTGGCTGTTTATGTTAGCTGATTCGAATGGCTGGTTAAGTTAGCTGTTTTGACCGGCTGTTTCTGTTAGCAGTTAAATTTTAAGTGTTTGGCAACTTTAGCTGTTTGTAGTTAGCTGTTTGTAAATAAAATTACATAAAAGGACATCCCTCCATTTATGGTATATTTTATTTTACAATTTTTTTTAAATATCATATCATAAATATATTTTTTTAAAATTAAAAAAATTAAATAAAAATTTATATATATATATATATATATATATATATATGTATGTATGTATGTATGTATGTATGTATGTATGTATGTATGTATGTATGTATGTATGTATGTATGTATGTATGTATGTATGTATGTATGTATGTATGTATGTATGTAGGTATGTATGTATGTATGTATGTATGCAGGTATGTATGTATGCATGTATGTATGTGTGTGTGTGTGGACATGATATTTATTTTTCATTTTTTTACATGTAAAAATTAAATCTTTACTATATGGAATATTAAATTTTAATTTCATTTAATTCGTAATAAATTATAAATATAAATTTTTTAATGAATTATAAATATAATTTTTTTAAATTTCATTTTATTTTTTAGTATTTAATTTTTTTAACTTTTATTTTTATTTTTTACATATATTATAAAATATCTTTCAACAAAAATGATTTTAAAAAAAATATTTTTCCTAACCGCCAATTCCAAATGCTACTCACCTTGGCATTTCAGATTTTGGCTTTTCGGATCAAAATGCCAAGTGAAAAAGCCATTAGCCAAACAATGGTTTTGGCGGTTCGCTTGGTCAAAAAAGCTAAAGTCAGTCAAAAATGCCAAAAGCTATACTAAATGCTGTTTTCCAAACACGGCCATAAACTTCAAAATATATATTAGTCCAAAAAAAATTAAAATTATACAATACAAGATGAGATAATAATATTTATCAAATGATTAATGAGAAAACATAAATTATGAAAAGATCTTAATAGTTACTGAAAATATCAAATTGGGACGGCAGGAGTATAATGTTACACTCTGCATTTTTTAGGGGGGGATTTAAAAATATCTTTTTTACTGAATAGGATGAGTTCTATCTACTGTAACGTTTGATAATGAAAAACTCTAAAATAATACGGAGTATGTCTTTGAGAATAATGATATACTCCGTATTACATAATTCAAGTAGAATGCGTCATTATTAAAAAAAATAGTTATTAAAATAATCAGTCATTATCTAACACTTGTTGCTAATGACCACATTCGTGGAGTCATTCGTATAATCAGTCATTAATCATTATTCACCAGTTGTTGTTAATGAAAGCATGTACGACAGATCATGTTATAAAAAATTACTCAATATACTCCCTCCGTTCTTAAAAACTATTCCTCTTTCATTTTTTTACTTCCAACAAAACACTTCCATTTTCTATTAAAAATCACTTTTTCCCTTACTTTTTCTTACCCTACCTATCACATCATACTTTTTCTCTAGTACTCAATCCATCACATCTTACTTTTACTCATCACATTGAACTACAATTTAACACTTTCTTATTTTTAAACAAAGTCAAAATAAGAACACTTTTATAGAACGTGAGGAGTATTATTTGATCATATTATGAGAAACATATAATATTTTAGTCTTATATGGAGTATATTTTTTGTTTTTGAAATTAAGTTTCTCAATTGTTTTTTTTTGTACAAAAAAAGTTCTTCATTTTTTTTACGGTAGAGGAACTCCTTAACTTTTTTTTACAGTGTACGGAAGAAGTAAAGTATAGTTCGTTGCTTCCAACTTCCAAGTTAATCCATAGTACGGTTGCTTCCGCGTTAGTACGGAAGAAGTAAAGTATCATACTCCTCTAGTCCTATGACTCGTATTCGTATATGCTTTAAAAAATTCCTCCATAGTTAAACAAATTGTCACATTTTACTTTTTAAAAATAATGAGAACATTTAATTATTTATACATTTTTATTGATTATTTAATTTAATAATATATTTTTATCACCTCAAGTTTTCTATTTTGAAAGTATTTTTTCAATATATGAGTTTTATTTTTTCTATACAAATATTAAAACAAAATTAACTAAAAAGTCTTAAAATTTCATTTTGTGTAATGAGAGTCACATTACACTAAATGTGACATTTTCTTAGACGGAGAGAGTAGAAAACCTAGACTAAAAAGAAAGTGAAAGGAAAAAAAAATCAAAAGAGAAAATACACTTAAAAAGAAATACGGAGTAACAAATATTCATCTATTTTGATGGGGAAAAGAAGAGAAATCTTTTTACTTTTACTTCCATTCTTAATTACTCGAGCCAAGCCCAAGCGTGCGCATCTTCCCGCGCACATCGAACGACGAAAATAAAACTCCGTCGTTACGTTTGGTGGACTGCTACATTCCGTGGACTGCTACATTCCGTGGCCAGACGAGCAATCGTGTTAAACGGGCCACATGCCGTTGGATACATACTCCATACGGACAACTGGGCTAAAGACAAACGGGCCGTTAGGAATGAACATCTAGACGGACACCTTGACAAACGAGGTGAGTCAAAACCTGCTCCGATACCATGATAAAATTTAGGATGGGTAAGGACAATTGGATTGGGTCATAAGACACTTGGGTTGAACCATATTAAAAGATTGAATCCAATCGATTTGTTAGTTCAACTCAAGAGCTTATATACTGATCTTTTTGCTCTTGAACTTCCGATGTGGGATGACACTCTAACACTCCCCCTCAAGTGGACAACCAGGTCATTTTGAATTTAACCGGTTGACCACTTGAAAATTAACTCTCATTCCCTTGATTTTTTTGAGTGCCAACACCTAAAAGACCACGACCCGCTGGGTATGGATTTCCAGACGAGCAGTTGGGTTAAACGGGCCACAGGCCGTTGGATACATACTCGATACGGAACACTGGGCTAAAGACAAACGGGCCGCTAGGAATGGACGTCTAGACGAACACCTCCTTGTAACCGGTACTTATTATATTGATTGAAACTATTTTTAAATCAATAGAAGTAAACATTGGTATAAAATTAAAAAAATTAGAATTATATTAAAAAAACTACATCAAAGTATATATATTATAAAACAAGCTAGCAGTGAAAAGTTTTTTATTTTATCAAATTTACGATAAAAATCTACTCGTATAAAGAAAGTAAATTTAAGTTGACCCGTGATTCTATGAATAATACGGAGTAATTAAGAATCTTTTTCGGGATATAAATCGTATAAATGGCAAGATTATTGGAACCATGGTGAAGAAATGTACTCCGTATATACTCCACTTTATTCTCTTCCATCTCTATATATACTTAGAGAAACCATAAGTGTTACCGTATATTAGTTGACTCGTTTCTCCAATCATTTCTTAGATTTTAAGGCAAGGTCAACTTTTTCTATCCTTCTTTGTGCTCATATAAGGTTCATTTCGACATCCTCCTTTCATCTCAAATAATTAGATTACAATTTTTTTTAGAGATCTATCACTCCGTAAATTTTTATTTATTTATATATCTTATTGATTATTTCGTAAAATAAAACATCTTTGTTACTTCTTATTTTGTAAGACTTTCGACGTAATATTTTAATATATAAATTTTGTTAATTATTCTTATAGCATTTTTAAATAAATTGATTTGGTTAAATATAGAATTTTGCCTCCTAAATGAGAAATTTTAATCCAATATGGGGCAAGGGAGTATATTAGTTACTCTCTATGTTCTAGCATATTTGTTCAGTTTGTTTTTTACAAGTCCAACTCGATGAACTTTAATCATCAATTATTTTCAAATTATATTGCATATCAATACAATCAGATAAAATTTTAAGTTCTAAACAATATATATAAATCTAATTAAATACTACCTTCCTCTCAATTTTTTTTATTTGAAGAACTACCTTCCTCTCAATAAGAGAGTCACATTTTGATTTTTTGTCAATTAAACTGCGACACTATGTAACCCTAAATTTAATACTCCCTCTGTTCTCAAAAACACTTCCTCTTTCATTTTTTTCACTTCCAACAAAACATTTTCACTTTCTATTAAAAAACCACTTTTATCCTTACTTTTTCATACCCTGCCTATCACATCATACTTTTTCTCTAATAATCTATTCATCACATCTTACTTTTACCCATCACATCAGGGGCAAAATTGGAAGTCAACTATAATTTAACACTTCCTTATTGTTGCTCCAAGTCAAAATAGGAAGCCTTTTTGCAAACGGAGGGAGTATAGTTTTAAATTAATAAATATTAAACAAGTTTGATACATCAAAACAATCAAAACAATGTTTTAAAATGAATTCAAGTATATTAAACCTTCCGAGTATATACCCGGAGTATAAATGTATTCCGTAATTAATTGGGCATTGAACACAAATACACAAGAAATGTCAGGTCTTTTTTATTTCTTGTTTAAATTTGTTACCAAAACATTAAACACAATCCCTCTATCCTTTAAAAGAATGAGCCTTTAACGAAAATTCTCTTTGTTTACTAGGTGATTTAATTTGATGAGAAACATGCATGTAAGGAGAGACTACAATTGTTCATCCTCCATGTTTTTTCTTCCTCTCATTTCATTGCTTCTCCTCCAAGCAATAATAGCATTGGCATATGATCTTGGAACAGACAAACAAGCCCTTTTAGATTTTGCTAATACTCTTCACAATGCTCCCCCTGGACGTCTGGGATGGACCTCCACGGAGGCGGCCGCCGCCGACCCAATCTGCACCTCATGGGTCGGCGTGACCTGCAGCTCGGACCGAAGTCGGGTCGTCGAACTCCGACTTCCCGGCTTCGGGCTGCGCGGTACTATCTCGGGAGACACTACAGTCGGGAGACTCGACGCGCTGGAGAAGCTCGACCTCAGTAACAACTCCCTGTCCGGGCCTATACCGCCGAACCTCAACTACCCGCGTCTCAAGCATCTGAACTTGAGCAGCAATCGTTTCAGTGGCACCATTCCCGTATCACTCAGAGGGTTTCCTCCTTAGTCATTCGGAGGAAACCCTCTGTTGTGTGGACCGCCACTGACGCATCATTGTGGCGGTCTAGATCTTCCTCTGGTTGAGACACGTCATTTCATATCCCCACTAGCCGGTTCATTGGGTCGTCGGTCATTATTAAACCCGGCAGTTGGCAATGGTAAAAGACGGAGAATGAGCAAGAGAGCTAGACTTGTCTATATTATTTGTTTTTCGTCAACCCTGGGCTTAGGTGCGCTAGCCATAGCACTTTGGTGTTACTGTTTGTGCACAAAGAAATAATTTGAGTTAAAGAAAAGTACGGTTTACCACTGAACTCTTTAGAAAATGTATGATTTATCCATAAACATTAAAAAATGTACCGTTTACACCTTAGTTTTTCAAAAATTACACGATTCACCCATGAATCATTAAAAATGCACCAAGTATGTCCCCTTAAACAACTTAAAACGTTGTACCGTCACTCCACGCGAACAATAACACCTAGACTCCAAAACAACCAAAACTAAAACAGGAGCTATACAAAAATAATTTATCAAAATGTACTGTAAGCGAGATGCTACCAAACCATCAAAAGTGTGCACGTGCAGGCCATAATAGCCCCACATTTAGAGGGGTTTAGGGCGAGGCTGTGGTGGGGGCTAAGGGTGGGGCTACGGTGGGAGGTTTAAGGGGTGGGAAGTAGGAACCATAAATTTTTTGATTGGAGCATCAGAGGTGCTCCAAAAATGCAGTGTCATCGCTAATGTCACTGTTGGCGAGTGTCAACGGAATCCGGCCCTATATAAAATTATATATACTTCCTCTATCTAGAAATTTTCTTTCTATTTGACTTTTCTTGGTCAAAAATTATAAATTTTGATCTCTATATACATAAAAAAATAAATGTATCATGATATTAATATAATATCAATATATTTCTTTTGAAACATAGTATTGAAATATCAATTTTTGTAACATATATTTATGTATATAAATATAGATATTAACGGTCAAAGTGTAATTTTGAACACTGTGAAAAATCAAATGAGAAGATAACTTCTAGACGGAGCGAGTATAATTTGTTGTTAAAGTTAATATGAAAATCATACTAGAACAAATAACTTGGGACTGAGAAAATATTTAGATTGTCTTAATATTTTCATTCTATTTTTTCAGAGTAAATTTTATAATTGGTCTTTTATAATAGATGAGTTTTCATATTTAGTCTTCTATTATCAAATATTACCACGTAGTCCTTCTTTTATTATTGCCTTTCCACAAATGGTCTTTTTTGATATTTTACCGTGTTGGCGTTTATTTAAAAACTAAGAGAATAATTTGACATCAATTTTATGTCGTCCATTAACGTATTCTGATATTGGTTAGACGGATAAGACAAAAATAATGACAATGATTGTGAACTCGGATTCCGACAAAAGACCACACCTGTAGTAAAAAGTGACTGTAATCACAAACGACGCATCAGGAGTGGGGTTTGGATTTGTGTATGACAATAAAGATATATTATCATTGTGAAATCATACTTTTAGCCTTCAAATTATCACAAACATGATAGGAGATAAAAAAGGACTATTTATGGAAATGTATTCGATTATAAAAGGACCACGAGGTAATATTTGATAATAGATGACTAAATAGGGCAATATCCCTTTTATAAAGGACCAATTATAAAATTTACTCATTTTTTAAATATATAGTTCATACCCTGTATAATTATTCTTACAAAATCACAACCATATGCATTCAATTTTATTTAAAACGGTGTCAAGGCAGTCAAGTAAAATTAAGAAAAAATATACTCACCATGTCTTAGAATTATCTTTCTATTTACTTTTGCTTGGTCAAAATTTTCTAACTTTGACCATAAAATATAGAAAAATTATATTAAATTATTATATAAATTAAATATCAAAAAATTAATTATAAAATAAAGGTTAAAAATATTATATTTTTTTAATATAAAATTATATATAAATAGACATATTAACGAATAACGATCATGATTGTGCATCTGTAGAAATGTATAGGAGAAAGAAAATAATGGAACGGATGGAAAAGAAAGTAAGAAATATTTATCTGAATAAACTTTATAAATGGTCCTCAATTACAAGATAATTTTCCATATTTAATTCGGAAAATATCTAAAATTGAAGACTAAAATGTAAAAGACTATTCATTCAACCAATGAAATGAGTTGACCATAAAATAGATACGGAGTATTCCGCTGTTTCGAGCCTCACCGTTTAGAGGCAATCGTGATCGTTAATCGTTGCCAGTTGTCGGCTAAAACCATCGTTTCAGATGGATTGATCGATCTCAATTCATCCACCGCAATCTTCTTCCAAGTTCCTCCCTCCCTCCCTTAGATTCTCCGGCAACAATGTCGACGGCAACGGATCCGAACGAAGGCACACCGAACTCCAACGTCAACTCCGGCTCTGTGGATGTGGGCGGTGGCGGCGTCGACCCGGCGCCTTTGCTTAGCGACCAGACCTTCCGCAGCCGGCGATTCATGCGGCATTCTCCGAGCCTCCGAGGAGCGGCTCGGTTCCTCCGGCGAGCCAGCAGTCGTCGGATGATGCGTGAGCCGTCGATGCGGGTGCGCGAGGCGGCGGCAGAGCAGATCGAGGAAAGGCAGAGTGATTGGGCCTACT